GGAGCTTTGCGGTACCGACAATGACCAAGCACTTGCCGGTCGAACCACACTGCGTCTCCTAGAGAGCCTGGTCCGCATGACGCAGGCTCATGCCAGACTGATGGCCCGTCATTCTACGCTTGTTGAGGTAAGATTTCAGCACTGACATTATTCTCTCAATATGTTTGCGCAGAAAAGCTCGATTTGGAGCAAAAAAAGTGTGCTTCAAATTGACAGGTGCGGTGGCAAACAGATGAACCACGATTTCACCCGTCAGCAGACTCAAGGAAGATAGTGGTGGAAGGTATGACTGAAATATTTATAATCAGGGCTCTTATGCGAACATAGAAGTCGTGAACAGCCGTTTCGCTGCCACCACGCTGTCCGCCTCACGCACCTGCAAAGATCTTAACTTGAGATTGTATATCGTAATATTTTGGTCAGTAGTAGAGGATGCTTTCCGGTTTTGACAGTACCGGTAAACATGATTTCAGTCTGATTAAGGTTTTCTGGTGCCTTCTGTAGTATTGGCAGTCCGGGCGTCTTTCTAAGCCTTTATTGCTGCTCTTGAATTTCCCCAGAATTTCACCGTTAACTTTGAGTAAATCCGTTAGAATTAAGCTTTTGTAGGCTCCGTCCGAAAGTTGGTATTGAATATTTGTGCCGCATTCCATCAACCACAGTGGGATAACCGCACACTACTCATGAGTTGCCAACAGACAGCCAATAGCATATGCATAGGTTACATTATTAACCATACCGAGAGCACAAGCACTATCTTACCTTTATGTATATGCTGCTAGGCCGTAGAATTCCTGGCCACATGTGCTTAGTTTGGCTGCACATTGAGAATGTGGTACCCAGCTTCCTTTGTCTGCGTCCATATTATTTATGACGGAGGCAGTGGTGTTAACAACATTATAGCAGAGACAGTTTCTGCTACTGTCTCTGATGATAGGTTCGAGGAGAAAGCTGAGAAGTCAGACGAATACAGTTATTATCCCAGCGATAACATCTGCTTCTTCTCAGTTCCTTCTCGAGACTCGTATTTTCGCTTTTATTGGCAATAATTGATGTTGCTAGTGGTGGCAGTTCCCGGCAGTTATCCTTGCGTCGCGAACTTGACAGTGTGTGATTTTTATCCATGATACTCGACTCGCAACCCTCCACGATGTTTCAGTGCCGCCATTTGTTCCGGTATTTGTTCTTTGAACTAACTGCATGGATTGAGGCGCATGTTGGCATTCCAGGTAGGCATATAAGTAGGGAAGAAGAAGACTGTTTGATCTCTGGGACATTTATTCATCCATCTGAGCTTTCGATTTCGTACGAGAGTTCATCGCCAAAGATAAAAGCGGCAGCATAACAAACAACAGTCAATTGATATATTGATCTGGTGCTGCCATACATAGCCCTGCGCAGTCACCTCCGGACTGGCGTTACCGATCGGCTCCTATTCTTTACTTATCGATTAGTTTGTAGCCGATTTTGTCTCTGAGGGTTGACTCTTGTACGAGTTCGAAAGCAAACTACCTTCTCCTTCCCGATATAAACTAACTGCATGTTTGGCTTGTGGTCCCTCAGATGTTGATTCATCGGGTAGATCGGCACTATTTTGCACTATGTTTGTAGACTGTAGAATTCCTGCCTAATGTGCTTAGTTTGACTGCAGGTTGAGAATGTGGTACCAAGCTTCCTTTGTTTGCGTCCACATTATTTATGACAGAGGAAATGGTGGTCTGTGGCGGACTGTGGTCTCTAAGATGTTGGTTCATCAGGTAGGTCGGATTGTCAGATAACTGGTCGATGACTGCACTAAGTCGACTGGATACCGCCAGAAGGTAAACTGGTTCATTATTTTATTTCGCTGCTCGTGGGCCCAGTCATGGGATTAGGGCTTCAAATAAACAGCCTCCAAAATATCGAACTGCATGCTACAAATGAGAAACTTGTTTACTCGCCTGTGCCGTAAACCGAATATTGTCTAAGCTTGTCAGTGGTGATAATTTTTGCTCTCTCACGACTTATTTCTGCCCATTTCTTTTCACTTCTCGAAGGATTCGGTGGTCGCTGTGTGGCTTATGGAGTGCTCCTTCCAGTCCATCTTCGGGTCCAGCGCGTCCAGTATCATATTCGAGGGTGGGGCGGTTGGTCCAGAGGATGTGGTTAGGTGCACTGGCATGGACTACAGTTTTGAAGAAGTGAAGCGCATCATACTTTCGAAGCTAGGTTTGTCTGCAAGCGACCTGGAAAGCAGCGCTGACGAAGAAGATACGAGGGAGAACGTCGTGACCAAACCGCCTGATGACTTGGATGTCTCTCCACTTGATGCCTCCTTGAGTGATGTCATTACCGGTCCACCGGCTTTCACATCCACCCAGGTTCACGACTTGACAGCCATCAATTTCTCCCCCGTTACGCTATCGCCTGAAGCTACTATTTCCAATATTCCAGCACACAGGGAGCCTCTGAAGACATCAACCAAAACCGTAACTGACACGAGGATTGGCATTTCGGCTGCGGACTTTGATCTCGGAAACTTGGTGTCTTCTTTTTTGGATGATATTGAGACTGACATATTTTCAGACCCAGCAAAGAAAGTCAAAAAGGCGGCCCCTGGGCCTGCCAAAAACTCTTCCAATCCAAATGCTCGGACCACATTGCTTGACACAATGTGTGAACTGGCAGAAACGCCCACTCCAAAGTTTGAACCCAGCATACACACATCTCCTTCTCCGGTCACCAGTCGTACTAGCATTAAAGAAAAGACCTCCAGCCGCTTGGCTATTCAGTCTTCCCACTCTGAAGTTTCTCCTGTACCGAACCGACAGCCGTCACCTTCCTCTCCAGCGCAACCGACCCTAACCGAAATCACTGCGGCGGTCAGCAATAATCAATCGGATAGTCGACCAAGTGGAGATTCTCGTCTGATTAGAACTGTTGAACCAGGGGTCGCCGTAGATCCAGTCCTAACTACAAGAGTACGTCGCAAACTCTTGAGTTTTCAGTTCCAGCCTAAAGAAGCTGACTGCCTCCAACCACCCAAAACATCACACACCGAACGGTCCGAATTGGCGTCGGCAGCAGACCTGCATTTAGAATCAGACGATTACATGACTTTGGGACCCCTATGTTCCTCTAGGAAACAGAATGAAACAAACACGGCTACATCGTCACGCACCGCGAAGCTGCAGTCGCCGGCACGAAAATTGGTGGGCTTTGATCAATTGCAGTCAGATGAATGGTCACTCTCAAACATGAATTTTGACATAGACTTTTGATGCATTTAGGGCTTTCTATGCATTTATTCTTCCTCGACCTTTGCTGTTGCATACGTTTTGATTTTCTTTTGTTACATTTGTTGTATATACACTATTTTTTTACTACAGGAGCCGACTCTGTCTCATTCTCACACCCACTTATACCGATTTGGCTTTTTTTGTACGTGTTATGACGTAGATTGTTGGCTCGTGGGATCTTTTTCGAGTTTGCTTTATGCAAGAGTTTTCAACAACAGTTTGCTTGGGCGGCTGCTTTTAATGATGTCACATTAATTTGCCCGACTTACAATCAGCACACCCTCTCCTAACGCTAGTGGTTTCAAGGTACGGTAGAACATCGGTTAACGAGTTTAGTCCTTTCTGGCACCGAGCCCATCTTGCGAAACGTAGCCAATCAAACCGCACCAGTCCACTGATTGGTTTCAGGCGACTGGGGACACACTCCCTGGTAACAAGACTCAACGGCGGACACGGGGACACACACACACTGACAACTCGTTAACTAAGCGGAAACTAATCTTTCGAAATAGATTTTCTGCTAGTGACTTGCTCATTACCTGGACTGCTCGCAGAAGGGGCTGTTTGTCACCCGAGGCTCCACTGTACCTACAAAATTCACGTTTAAATCAGCTGCATCTAGAAGTTTAATGGGATTGACTTACCTTGTTTCCATGGAGGAAATCATGCCTGGTGGTTAAATGATCCTGGCTGAAGACACTTTACTAAGTAGATTGGCACACTACTTGCCTCTTTGGAAAGTATCAACTCCATCAACTGACTTTTTGTAGACACAATCGCAAGTATTTGCCTTGAGCCGGATAACGTCGTCATAGTGACAAGACCTCCATCGAGTAGCCAGTTGTATCGATAAACATTTCGAAGAGACGTTAACAACAATGGTAAGGGCAACTCCAGATTGTCGGAATTCGAGCGATTTGTAAAAATCGGACGTGGTTCGTGGGTTAACAAATGATTGGATGTCCTGTTCAGTACCGATCCTAGAGGAAGCAGATGGTCGGGAAAACTGACGAGAACGGCAAACATTGAGGCCATAGGCGGAGCGGCAAAATAGCTTTTTGTTTAAAAGATGCAAATAATACGGCCGATGACAGCTTATGTTATCGCTTTGGTCTATAGCTACAGGCAGTTCATTTCAGGTTCGCTTTTTATTCCCGGGCGGTGGATATATTTTTTAAGTTTTCTTTGGAAATAACTAGATCGTCACTTTTCGTTGCGCGGAAAAGTTGCGAGTCTGCTCCCAAGATCAGGGTTTATGGGGCTGAGCAAAAGTACGGGACCAGTATATGTTCCTCTCGGAGCCGCTGTTTGATTTTTCGAACCTGTGTATGGCCAGTTTTAACAGTCAGCTAACATTTACTCGCTTCCCCGGTTACATCTACTGCTCTGTGAGGCCATAAGCCTTCTTCAAGGGATTTCCCGAGTACGT